TTATTTGGGTTTTTGTTTTCTGGTTTTTTCGTTTGTTTGTTTTTGTTTTTTTTTTTTTTTTGCATGACCACATTTGATCTGAACAGAATCCAGAGAAAAGATAACCCAGTAAAAGAAGAAAATATCCTAGAAAAGCCTGTCTCCACAATTTTCCGCTGACTCCGGCAGCTTCCAAATTGTCTCTTGCCCAAGCTGCCCAGCAAGCAGGCACTAAAAGGTTTTGCAAATGCACAGTAGTAAGTTTTCCTTTTCAAAGCACCTCTGAGCTTCTGTGAAATCATGCTGGACAAACCTCAGACCACATTTTCTTCAGGAGGTTTAGTCATGCTGAAAGTATGTGGGTGACAGGTGTGTCATGCATTTCTGTGTAGGGACCAGGAGTAGGGATAAATTGTGAAGTGAATCTTGTGTATACAAAAAGATATCTGAAGAGCACAGGATGATTGCTCTCTGAAAGTCAATAGCAATGCTCCCCTTGTTAGCAGCATCAGCCAGGTTTTAGGAGACCGCTGACTAAAGCTTGAAATTGTCCTGTTTCATCTAGTCAGTTTTAAACAAAAATACATGCAAATGACTACTGGCTTTTGGCAGGTGCAGAGAAGGACAGGATGAAGCACTTAGCTCCAATCCAAAACACTGAAAATATATACATTTACACTTGAAATCGGTGGCTCACTTGCACTTTCCACTGGTAATTGTACAACATTGGCTCCTCTTCTGCAGTTCTGGTTGGAGATGCTGTGGATGAAAAATCTCTTGTGTGAGTGGCAAAGCATGACAAGGGCATGGGCAGGGACCTTGTAATTCCTGTGTTTCCATTGTTGATTTTATCTGGTCTGAATCATTTCTGTCTCCAAATTAGCTGCCTACAGATGTATAATGCTATCACACTAAGCATGCCAGCCATCTGACATGGAGGGATGGATGGAAGGATGGGTTGACATCAGCACGAAAAAAGTGATGCTGTTTGCAAAATAACCTCAGCAAAAAGGACAAAGCGAACTAAAAAATACCTTGTCCATTAAATCGAGCAGAAAATAGAAAAATGCCAGGCTGGAGATGATGTACTCCGCCAAGTCCTGAATCCTGGTCTGTGGCGTATCGTTACATCTTTATTAGTAAATTAAGCACTGCCAGGATCCATTCTGGCCACAAAGCCAACTGACAAGTGCTGGCCACATCCACACTACTCGACTCTTTCACCCCTGATACAGAGCGGCTGCATCCAAACTGCTGATTTGGGATGGTCTCTGGCCAGCGTCAACGCCCATGCAAGCTGTGCCCAAGCATGGGCCTTGTTGGCATGGGGCAAAACCATGACAGGGAAGGTCCCAAAAATATAACAGAGGGGAAGTGGAGCCCTCATGCCCTGGCTTTGCTCTGGCATGGCATAGTTTGCTAGTTTAGATGATCCCAGGGTGAATCCAGCAGCACAAACAAGTCAGAGAAGTTGCCCACTGATCTTGTGGTGTGAATAAAGATGGACTCAACTTTCTCCATGGCAGTTTGAAAACCCCTTCATGCAGTATCTTCTGTCAAGAAGGTGGGACATGATGTAACTAAGCTACCAGGGAGAAGCTGAGGAGTTAAAAACCAAGTGAAACCAAAACAAGTCACTGACCATCCTGCCAAAGTGCACACCAAAAACCAAAGGGACCCTGGGCAAAAAAAGCCATGAGGTGAGGACTAGACTCTTAGCATTGAGATTAGTACCAATAAAGAGATGGGGGTGGGTAATTTTGCTCCCTGTGATTTTGGCTTGGCAAAAGGCGCTGTTTGGCAACAAGATCACAGATAATCCGAAGAGGAAATTTGTCACCACACCAAACTGTCCACCATGAACTTGTTGGGTGTAGTGGTAGAGCACGTGCTTTACGTTAAGGCTGTAATGAACTCCTTCAAAGAGACATAGCTCTTCAGGGTTGACACAGGCTCTCACCGGAATTCTTTTCCAAAATCAAGATGCCAGTGGATATCATTCAAAGAAAGGACTAATAGCGGAGGCAGAAAGTTTATGCAACAAAGTGTAATGAAACAGTCTTAACCCACAGCAGAGGCACCTGCCTTCATCGTTATCCATACTACGAGCCACGAAGAAGGAGGACTTTGGAGCAAGGATGTGTCAAGCCCTTAGTCAAGCTGGTTTGGTTGTGAGAAATTAGCACTGCATTGAGACGTAAGGTCACTTCTAGAGTGTTTTGTCCCTCTGTTCCCGTAAGGGGATGGAGAGGACGGCTGTTCGTGTGGCGTTCTGGAGCAAGGGTCCCGTTCCTGAGGGAAGGCAGGCTGCAGATGCTCTTGAGAGGCAACACTGAAGGGTCTCCTCCTCGACTCTTAATGAGTGTACCTCAGCTTGTTGATTCATTTCACTGTCCTGGTGTGAAGTGGCAGGTTCCGGCTGTTCAGCGGGGCCAGGGAGTGGGATGACATCTCCAAACCAGACCTCAAGGTTGACAAGTTTGGGGAGGGGGGTCTTCTCATGGTGCTTTTGAAAATGAGGATGCTATCTCTTGGAGGAAAGGTCCCTGAGGAACAGCAAGGTTGTTTGTTATCCATTCCTTTCTCATGCTTATGCCAGTGACGTTCAGATGTGTAGAGGAGAGCTCTTCATGGAAGGACCGAGGAGAGTTTTTACACAGGGCATGACACTCAGGGAACTGGCTCAGGGTAAATCTACACTAGGATTAAAGGTAAATCAAAAGAAAATCCTGAGAGGAAAAATGCAGGCCTGTCGCTGGAGGATGGACACCTCTGTGGTTTTATGACTCAGTAGCTGGAGACAGCAAGTTCACTTCACAAATTACCTCTTTTTATGGAGATAGTATACTGATTAGGGAAGAAACAGGGCGAAATGTTAGTAGGACACTTGAGAAGGGACTGGTTATGGGACACAGACAATGGAGAAGGGAAATGAAAGCTTTTCACAAATATATATAAGTGTGTGTATATATATATTTATGTGCACAGTAAACAAGAGACTGGGAATTTAGATAGGGGATGGCAAGGCAAAATCCCTCCCTCTGCATGAAAATGTGACCATCATCTTGGTTTTAATCAGAGCCCAGAAACATTTGCCTGAAATGGAGTTTGACTGGGAATTACAGTACCAGTGACAATTTGGCTTCTTATAAACTTTGCCGTGTGTCTGTAGTTTGGCATGAATGAGTCCTGCCCTCCTTAAAAGGGACAGACACCAGTTAAAAGTTTTCTTTACAAAACAAAATGGAACAACTGAAGAAACCCCAGTATTTTCTCAGAACACTGCAAAGGATCACTGATTGAAAAAAATGTTTCTCTTCAGGTATATTCAGGCGAAGAAAGCATTCAGCTTCTTTAAACTGTTATATAAAATTGGTACTAGTTCTTTAAATACTATTATAATTAAAAAAACCCCCGATTCCTCAAATTAAAAAACAAAACAAAACAAAACAAAAACGTAATCATAATTAAAAAATATTTCCCCCATGCTGATCTTCTCTTCAGAACAGGTCAGCATGGGAGTTTTGCACCCTAGACAGTTACAGTATTTCTGGAATAAAAAATTGCAATTACACACAGAAAATACTACAGCATTCACTTAAAAATATCTCATTTTGTTGTTGCTGTTTTTCCCCTCCCAAGTAGAGGGACGGTGGGATTGAAAAGATGCCCTGAAACAGGAATATTCCTTTAAAGGAGCAATACTCTCAAAACGGAAAAGGGTGTCGGATAGACGCAAACCCGTGATTTAACTCGAAACAAGAGATTCCAGCACAGAAACAGAATTCAAGAGATGTGAATGTTCAGACACCGAGCGGGTTATTTGGAAATGTCAAGACAACCACACGACCCTCAGCAGGTGACCGTCTAGGCTTTGCCATCATTGGAGGTGGCAGCATCTCCTTGGCGGTGAGAAGGCTAAGCTAAACCACGATGCTCTTGCTACGCTCTTGAATTTCCTCTGGTGTTGTTTCTCGCCATGTACTTACAGTAGAGGGTGACACGAGACAGTTTTTATCAGCAGTTCCCCACATGTACCGAGTTGAAGAATTCTCAGCTAAATCACAACAACAACATCAACAAAAATACAAAGCACCAAATCATCTCGAGACGTGAGTCAGTTTACAGGTTATTACCGTTTGAAGAAGTTTGTTGGTTGTTTTGTTGTTGTTTTTGTTTTTGTTTGTTTGTTTGTTTGTTTTTTTTAATCCCGATTTTCGTGTTTTGTTTTCCTTAAAAACAAAACAAAACAGAACAAAAATCAAAACCCAAAATCCCCAAAATGGAACGAAGGATGCTTTACAATCACTTTAAGGCTCGCACTGAATGAGACATGACAGGTCTTACACGAGATTACAAATAATACATGTATGCCTTTCACAGCCTTAAAATGATACAGTAGGTCAAATTATTTTGCCAGTCACTGATCAAGTATTGTGCCTTTAAATTGACTCGCTTTTTGCTACTATGCTGAGTTTTATTATTACTGAAAGAGTTATTAGATATGTATAAATGTACTTTAGTATAGTGGTTTTTGGTATATAATTTCAATGTTTGCAGATTTCTTATTTTCCAGAAATCAAGGTGGCAGGCCTTATTCTGGGCTCAGACAGTTGTTATTTACTCCACTGAAGACAGTGGTGCTTTAGCGTGTGCAATTGTTCAAAACAAGATCAGATACTGTAGTACCACATTAATCTGGTGCAAACCGACCATTACGCATGGCCCATTTACACGAGGAAAACGGTTACATGGTGGGATCGCGTTTATAACATGACTCAGTCAAGGCTCACAGGCTTGGCCAAATAGTGTTATAAATGCATTGCCAAATTGAGGTACAGACCTGATTTTGTCTTTCAGCTTTTGGAAAAATCAAACTCCATTGGGGGTGTCTTGGCTTTGCTTTCTTATCTTTAGACATTTGGGGTTTTTTCTGCTAAATCCAATCAAAGCAACAAGATTTTTTTTTCCGTACATTTCTCTCTTTTTGTTGTTGTTAATTTTTTTCTTTTCTTTTTTTTTTTTTTTTTTTTTTTTTTTTTTTAAATTTCAAGGTTAGTATTTCAGTTGGTTGGTTTTTTTCCTGGCATATAATCATCAAAGAGTTTTGCATGAGAAAGGTGACAGTACTTAATGAAACTCAGCACCTAAGGGCATAAGGCAGTTGTAGGTTTGTTTGTTTGTTTTTTTATTTTTCAATCAGCACCAATCCCATAAATAATGTTCTACACTTGGTGTACGGTATAAAACTGATGTGGAGATGCCTCCTTCTCCACCTGTGAATCCTAGGTGTGGAAGTTGAAATACTGTTTCTTGTGTGTAAAAAACAAAAGAAAAGTTTTTCTTTTTGTTTTTACTTACAAAACATAGAGAATATCTTTTTTTTTTTTTTATACATACAGCAACCAGAAAGAAAGCTTATCTGAAGGTTTGTGTTTGTTTCATGATCTGTGTTTACCGTAAACAAAAATAAGGTCCCCTCTTTTACTTTTGCTTTAAGGAGCTTTAAAGTGAAGATTCATATTGTAGCAACTCATATAAGAGAGGTCCATCTCTATACCTAATACCTACAGCTGTGGGGGTGACATATTGGAGGATGTTGATAGTTCTTCTTAACCTCCTGTCTACAAAATGAGCATCCCATGCAGGATATCTTTTTCTTGGGATGTCAATCTTAATGAGAGGCCCCTCGGGGGGGTAGGGTCGCCCAGATGGAGTAGATGGTACCATTGCTCTCACCTGGAAAACGGGCAAGCAAGTGTCAGCTGTGAGTTCCTCCTGTTGCTCCGTGACCGCTCTGGTGGGCGTAGCCTGGGCCCCCCGGTACCCAGGGGTTTGGGGTGCCATGGGCTCAACATCGGGGGGCAAAGGAATGCCCCAGAGCAGCTCGGCGCAACAGGAGCTGGCAAAGATCTTAGCTCTTGGCCCCATGGGATGCAGCACACCATAATATAACAGCATCAAAGCTATCCCAGCAGCAAAGCTAAGAAAGACACAACACAGTGCTGGCACGGCATATGAGTCAGTAGTGTCAGGATCTCTGTAAAAATACCAAAGGAGCGTCAAGGCAGCGTTCTCCGTCAGGACTACCGTGTAATACGCAAACATTCTGTATCGAGTCCGCCCTTCCTTGACATTAAACCAGCAGAAAATGTACACAATCCCTACCACCATGTTGAAGAGGATCTCCTCCCACTTAGACATGCAGAAATCTGTCCCACCATGGATGATCCAGAAAGCCATGGCACACCAATGGACCACTACAAAGATCCCAAAGTAGAGCTGGAAGATGGAAGCAAAGAGAGCAAAAGAAATAACTCGGGATGAGATGGTGAAGAGGCGCCAGAAGAGATGGATGAGGGCCCCTCTGTAGCTCATACTCTTCTTGTCGTCCCTAGAGTCCCGAAGAAGCTTGTGATAGGAGGCTAGCACCCAAGCCAGGGACATCAGGGAGGCCACAGAGGACACACCTGCCGGAAGACACACAGATCCACTGAGTTAGACAGGAGGTTTGGTTGAAAACATCATCTGCTCACTAAATTATTGCATCTGGGGCAGGCTCAGTAGCCCAAAGGTTCAACTCACGTCAGGTTGTCCTTACAGTCTGGAGGAGAGAAATACAGAAATATCAGTGTGGGAATTGGAAATGATGCTGCATTCAGGAGCTTTCTGACACAGCACATTATGCTTATCTCCATGAGCTGCTGGATCTGCCACCCACCCCAGCTCTTTTCTTACAGGGGACAGTCTCTGTCCTCATCCTGATTAGACCCACATTTGAGAATTTGAAATCTAGATCCCATCTAAATGCTGCAGCCCAAGTATGAAGGTTACTTTCTGTAGAGGAGGTCTATCTTGGAGTGCATCATCACAAGAGCAGGACATGTATATTCCTTGTAACTGCATGGATCTTTTTTATTATAAAATACTTTCATACAGGCAACAGTCACATTGACTTGTACTTGATTCTGCTTTAATCAGGAATCCCCATTTGCATTTGCCTTTGGGAAAAATAGGCAGTTGGTCAGGTTTTTTGTCACCCTGTGGTCCCATGCAGATGAATATACAAATACAGAGAACATCAAGACTCATCAATACCCTCCAAATGGTCCCAAAACAAAGAATCTGATCCCTCCAGCAACTCTCCTGCCCTGTTTCCAGGATGAACCGAAGACCTACATTGGAGGTAGCTTATCTCCAGCCTTGTCTCCTGGATGGACCACAGATTCAAGTCACAGTCATGGCTCTAGTCCTGTCTTACTCTGCCCCTGGTAGGACCCCCTGAAAACACCTTGGATCTGGTCCATCCCCTTGCCTTGTCTGGGACTACTGAGGGAGCCATTACCAGCATGCAGCTCTGTCCAGTGCACTCAGACCCTGCGGTACTGCTCCCATCAGTGAGGGCACTGCCTGTCCTGGGGTCACCCTCAGTTCCCAACTCATCCCCCTGCGCCTTCACTCGGGCAGGCACCCCATGACATTCCAAAGGGGCCTGATCTTATTCTCAACCACAACCAACACCTAAATTATTTATTGGCTCCAAAAGATAAAGTAGTGCCCCCATCGCACTTCAGGAGCTTTTAAAAATATCATGCTATTGGTTATCACAAGAGTAAATTGAACAACGCATTGAGCAAAGCATGGTAATAAAAATTAATTGACAGATTCTTGGGGAAAGAAAAGACCACTGGCTTCTTATTCCTTTGCTCCCACTGCTGCTTGCTGAACAACTGCTCTGCAGGTGAGGGAACAGATGATGGACTAATATCCATGTTTGGGAAGCTGAATAATTTGGTAAGCTATAGTTTGATTGGTCCTTGGCCAAAGATTTGCCTGGGAGCATCACCTACAGAATCTAAAGGAAAAATGCTAGTGATTTCAAGAAAAACAAACAATAACAAATATCTCTCCATCTCTGATGTGTAATGTACTGGAAGATATCTCCAACTCTTTTTTGCTTTTACTACTTTAAGGAAACCCAAGGAGCAGCTTTCAGCAGCTGCTCAGGGTTAAAATCTAAAATGTCTGAAAACCTTACATTTCTTCTTCTCCTGTTTTTTTTTTCCTCACTTTTCCCTCTGCCCACAAGGACCTGGATCCCACAGGGATGGCAGGAAGATCCACTGGCTTTCAGACCTCATTCTACATGCTTTATCTTCTTATTTTTGAGAAGCCCACTCCAGAGCGTGGTGGGGTTAGATTTGCCCCCTTCCAGCCTAGCTATGTGCGGAGGAGAGGTGATGGAGAAGGTGGCCAGGAAGGATTGCAGACCTCCATCTCTGCCCCTCATTGAAATTGCTCCAGCCTGCAGGTCCACCAAAACTACACTGTTCCATCAGCTCTCAAGTCTCGCCCTGAATACCTTGCCTTTGGTTTCACATGTGCATTCCAGACTGATTTTAAAAACAGCAAACCACAAACCAGTAAAATCAGTGGTCTTATCAAAGAGGGAAATTTTAGGCCACCATCTTTAAGAAAACCACAATTTTCTCCACGTTATAAGTCCTCAATAAGAAACACTTGCATATAGGACTTGGGGACTCTAATGGATGGAAACTTCTGAAAGTGAACAGCCTCAGCCCCAAGCAGATGTAGATTAGATTTATTTTTAACCTACCAAATGTGTTGCATTTTTGGTAGACATAATTAACCGTTTTGGAAGGCTGAGCACAGTTCTTAAGGTAAGTGATGCTATGTGTATAAGTACTGTTAGTTGCAATATCTTCTAGCTATTCAGTTTAAAAACTTTCCATGATTAGCAGAAAAAAATATGTAGTGCATTGTCTTTGTTATACTAGAAACTTGTATGGCATTAGATGTACCTGTATACTGAAACTCAAGCAGCACCAACCCACAAGAGACAGATATATCACGCTGGCTTAAAAATGTTTCTGTTGGGTTCATTTATTCTAGAATAGAGACAGGAATAAAATACAGCAGAAACAAAAACCCAGTATACACATAAAAGCTTTTCCCACTGTAACGTTTTCAGTGCAGAAGCCTACACTAATCACAGTTTTTGCCGTAAACTGCACAGAGCTGGCTGAGACTTTGTGTGTTGAGTCACTCACGTTGCACGGCACCATGCCTGCTGATAGTCATCTGAACATTTCCTCGAGTCAACAGAGAGAGGCAGACACCCCCAGAAAGTGATTCACCCTGTCCTAAGATCCACGTGTGGGACAGGGAGGGGTTGACTCATGCTCCCAAGGTGTCTGACTCCATCCCTTGACAGGGGAGCGCAGAGACATGCGAACACCGGCAGTCAGGTGGGATGAGTCCTACCCTTACAAAACAGTTCGTTGCCTCCTCATTTGCACTAAGATCTGAGGGGGAGAATGAAGTGTCTCTAGACATTTTGACATATTCCTGCCGTAATTTAAAAATTCACTACTCTGTGGCGAATGTGAATTTTAGCATCCTGGTGATGAGCAGGATCTGGACCTGGGTGTCATGGGGGTGCAATCAGTAGGTGGGTGTCAAGAGGAACCATGGAGCGATGTAAACACTTCTACGGTACTTCTTATTGTGTTGCCACAGGAATTATTCCCCGGATTTTTCATACAGACTTAAATAACAAAGAACACCTTGGCTTTTGTCATCTTGACCACGAGTTTCTCATTCCCATCTTTCCTGTCACTTCTAGAATGTGACATCTTCATGCAATGCACAATTTTCCCAGACTGTGGGATAAACTAGTCCTTTCTTTTCCACTTCTCCACACCTTATTTGTAAGCAACTATAGAGATCTCTCCTATTATAACTGGAACAAAAAGTCCTGATAAGTTAGATCACATGGGAAGTAATTTTTTATTTTGATTTTGACTTTTGCACATGGTGACTGACGCACCTTCATCTAGCATGAGTGGGTTTCAACTCCCTTCCAAGGTTTGTTTATCAGAGGGTTGGGGTTGGTTTAAAACTGAATTCACTTCAAAACACCCACTCCCACTCCTCCCACTCTGTGCTTAGTCTTGGGAGTGGAAGATACATGCCATGCACTGACACACCTCTGTGGGCATTCTCAAGCCAGGAGGACATCAGCTACCATGGGACTGGAAGCTCTGTGGCTGCATCTGTGGAATCTGTATCCCACCTGCCCATAACAAGCCAGACTGGCATACACTGGGGTTATCTTCAAACTCTCTTCACTGGGCTGTACAACAGCCCTTGAACTCCTCCTGTCACCCTCTAGGAAGCAATGACTGATTCAAAGGTCAAAGTCAGCACCATTGAGGAGCCAAGCCCATGTGTCTTGAATGACTCACCTACATTCAGCATGGTGAGGTAGAGCTCTGTAATGTTCCCATTTGATAGATGAAACACTAAGATTTGAAGGATTTACCCAAGGTCGCATATAAAATCCATGTTAGAGCAGGGAAGATATCTCCTTCACATCACAGCGCACCTTGCCAAAGCATTTCAGACAGGATTCAGCCCCTACTGTAGAGACTCACCTCAGGGTGTCCATGGGTAAGTGATGTATCTTACTGAACTCAATGGACAATTAAGGCTTAGTGCAACCATCACAGATGGGAATCCAACTACACTTGAGATTCTCTAGGATATTCCAGACCTCCGTGTGGACCCGGCAGATGTGACAAACTTGCATACAGAAGACAAGAACATTTTTGAGCTGGGAGCTGGAGTCAGGCAGAGTACTCAGGGCATCTCAAATGACACTAGGCAGAAGTCAAACAAAGTTTCCTTAGTCATTATGGCCAGCGATGTATGAAGGTCATTGTTTAGACCCTGTGGCTGTATTGCCTATATCTCCATTGAAGACAAGAGGAGCTTGGACACCCCCGTCATGTGGAGACACCGCCCTCAGAGACACCTTTGTTTAGGTGTCTGAATCTGGAGCTGAGCTCACCCATCATCTTGAACTTTCTTGATGCTGACTTCTTGCCTTAGAAATTCTGCCTTTCTCAGGCGGAGCTGATGAACAGTCCTCAGAGATAAACACAAGTGGCATGGAGACTAGGCAACAGTAAATGGTGAAGAGAAATGAGGAAGTAGTGGGAAATAAGGCAGCTATATACAAGGTTAAACTTTCTGAGGAGTGTCGGATCTAGGAATAGACTCTCTGAGAAGGAGAAACAAGAGCCATTGCTTGGGATCATGAAAACATGAGTGGACTAGAGTACAATGCAGGTAATGATCTGATACAAGAGGAGAGGAGCATGTACCACTCCGAGCTCAAGGGAAGCTCCTGGAGCCTTGCGGAAGCTTGCAGGGGCAGGTTGGATTTCATCTTGTATTGGTTTTCATCCTCTAGTTCCTACTGATGGCCCAGACAAAGCAAAGGCCATCTCAGAAATGTAACGAGGGTCTTTGAAAAATCCATATCCACAAGAGAGATTCAAAACAATGACTCCCCTCAAATTGCCATTGCTATTTTTACAGCCCATATATGTGCAGAAGTAAAAACGGTGCACGGAAGCCATCCCAGTCTATCTGGCCTATTCAT